ATTATCACCTCGCTCGGTTTTGTTGAGAATGTCTCATATCAGTATATCTATCAAAAGTTTGATGGAAATAATTTTTTCATTCTTGTTCTCTATGTTGATAATATCTTGTTAGCTAGCAATTCAATGAATTTTCTCAATGAGATAAAACATCTATTGTCTTGCTATTTTGACATAAAGGACATGGGTAAAGCCTCCTTCGTTCTTGGGATACAGATTTATCGTGATAGATCTCATGGTATTATCGGTTTATCATAGACCACCTATGTTAAGTGGGTACTTAAGAAATTAAGAATAGATTCATGTTCTCCCTCACTTGCTCCTGTACAAAAAGGTGAGCTATTGTCAAAGTTACAGTGTCCCAAGGATGATATGAAGAGGGCTGAAATGAGAAAGATACCATATACTTTCGCTGTTGGCAACCTTATGTATGTTTAAGTGTATACTCGACCAAATATAGCCTTTGCCATTAGAGTGCTAGGTCGATACTTAAACGATCCAGGTCCGGGTCATTGGAAGGCTGCTAAGAAAGTTGTGAGGTATCTTTAAGGTACGAAGAATTATATATTGATTTACAGAAGGTCAAATTATTTTGAGGTTGTTAGGTATTCTGATCATAACTTTAAAGGATCAGAAGATCTTGAAATTGTTGGCTTTTCAATTTAGATTTTGCCTCTTATCTGGATGATCGTAAATCCACGACCGGCTACATTTTCATGCTGTTTGGAGGAGCTGTTTCTTGAAAAAGTGTGAAACAGACACTTACAGTAGTTTCATCTATGGAAGCTAAGTATATTGCTTGTTTTAAGACTATATGTCATGTTACATGCTGAGGAAGTTGATATCTGACATGCGCCTAGTTAAGTCAATATCACGTCCTCTAACCATTTACTGTGATAACAAATCTGCAGTATACTATGCTAACAATCACAGAAATTCCAATCGTACAAAGTATTTTGATATCAAACTTATGTTTGTGAAAGAGAAAATTGTTGAGTTTTAAACCCGTGTGATACACATTCCTGGCATGCAGATGCTTGTAGATCCACTGACCAAGGGCTTACCTGTAAAAGTTTTTCAAAATCATATAACTTGTATAGGTATTGCGGATTCCTTTGATGCCTTGGTTTAGTGGGAGTTTGAGAATCTTTTATGTTGCAATTTCTCTTTAGGCTTTAGTTTTCTTCTGTGAGTTATGTTCAGTTCAGTTAGATGCGTCTATATCATTTGTATCCCCATAGGATTCAATGATTCTATTGTGGTACGCTATGTATGTCACTTGTTTTTCCATAGAAATTAGTGATTTATGTTGTTATTTTACTGAACAATGTTTGAAATAAAATTTCATATTTTGTTTAAATTATAAGACATTATATCACTTGTTTTCCTATAGGATTCAGTGATTTTGTGAAGTTTCATTTTTCAAATTTTGTTTGCGGCTTGTTTATACAACTTGCTTAATTAATGCAATCCGAGTAAAAGATTGTTGGAATATTATTTATGGATTAGCACTAATTAATAAGACCAAACAGATTGGTCTTTATGATCCTGTGTGGGCCATGATAAGTGGACAATACAAGTGAGTCCAATGGGCAAAGGCCCAACCCACAACCCAATACCTATCAGTTATTTCCTATCTCTTAACTAACTGAGTCAGAGATAACGTAATATAATTATTTTAATTATATAATAAGGCGGTTACAGATCTAATCCTTATAAGTTGATCAGTTGATAACTGCAAACGCACGACTTATTCTCTATTATTCCATTATCTCTGCACTCTCTGAAGACTCTAAGGTTTAGTGGGTTGTGCATATGTCTACACTCAAGATAATCGAGATTTCTCAAACGTTCATGGATTCTTTAGGTACGCATACATTCTTTACTTGTTCATATGAATTGAGATATTCAAATACAACATATAAAACATCTTTTAAAACTTTACTTAATTTAAAATTCAAGGTATTGAGTAATTTTTATAATTATATATATATATATGGTTTAAAGTTTGTAAGTAATTTTATTTACCTATCTCATTTACATTTTATCTATATTAAAAAATTTAATCTCCTACTTATTTTTATAAATTAAACTCACTAAAATCTTTTCCCCTCTTCATTCTATATTACAGCTGAAAGTAGTATAAAATCTAGTCCATAGTAAGTGAGTTCCAATAAGTCACTCCAATAATGTCAATGATAGTGTTTTTTATTTATAAAAGCATAACTAGACAAATTTTCTTATCCATTATATAAAGCTTGATTGATTTATTCAAATAAAAAATCATGAGCATTATGCATGATTTGCAAACGATATGATTTACTATAAAATAAATATTTTATGTTGCCTTTAAAATATTCAATGAAACATTTTATAAATCTCGAAATGCTCGTCCCGTGAAGAACAAGAATGACTCGAACCCCGATTACTTTGTGTATTTCAAACGTAAACACCCGGGAACACTGACGTGGTCTTTAACTACTTATGAAAGCCGTGCCAGCCGAAAAATATGGAAAAAAAAAAGTTTATAATTAGTTTTTATATATATAAAAAGGTTTATAATCACATATCTACATCTATACTTTCTATAATTTAGAAGTCAACAGGGTGAAAGTTTATTAGTTAGCTGGACATGAATAAGATGGACGACATGATCGAGCAGGATTTTCTTCAACATGTTCTAAAGGACAAGGGCTCTCCGTTAATTAGTGGGTACGTAAAAATAAACATCCTATTCAATAGTATCTTAAAGTGATTGTTGTCGGTGTAAATATTGATATCTATCAGTCAACCTGATAATTAGGCGGTCAAAAGAATTTAAAAAAAATTGATATATTGATACATTGATTAAAATGTTTAGCAGTGTTTTAAAATTCACATAGAATTGATCAATTCAATCAGTCAAACCAAAAATTGATCCTTAATCCGGTTTGATTAACTCCTCAAAATCAGTCAAAAATTGAAATAATTGGTTGAAAATATAACCGATTTCCTTAAAAATCAGTTTGAATTAATTAAAATTTTAAAAAATTAATTAAAACAAAAAATGGCCAAAAATAATTAATATTAATTATATATTCACCAATAATATATCATTTTATCAAGCATTTATTAATATTTTTTAAAAACATAAATATTTATATATTTTTTATTTAATTATAATTTATAAATTAAAAATATATCAATGTCAATTACCATTCAATTTGAACTAATAAACTGTGCATTAGTAGTTAATTTAATTTAGTGATTGGTCTAACTTTTAAAACGCTAATATTTAGCTAGCGGCGCCACAGTGATCACCTCGAGCCACGGTTTTTAATGGAGTCGGGAATGGTTTATTCATTAACTTTTAAATATGATTAAATATTAATATATTAATTTAAAATAATAATAATTGATTTGAAAAATATTATTTAAACCGACATTATAAGAATTACAAGATTAACAGAATATTTTATAAAATTAAAAAAATAAATTAAAATTTAATATAAAATTAAAAAATAAAAAATACACTATGGTTTTTTTTTTTTTAATTAAAGTGGACAACTATAGCTTGAGCCTTGAGTTAGTAAATGTTGAGCGCATGAAGTCATGATGTGGGGCCCGGTATGCAGATATAAATATAATATTCGTGGGATCATAAATGCATGATTGTGACGCCATGGAGGTTGGAAGCTGATTTATTCCCCATATTGCTCCTTCTCCTCCTGGGTTTGCAAGCTGCTCCATGGCCATCGAAGAGGTTGCCAGATCTCCAGGAGAAGGAACCGCCGCCGGAAACGGCGCTGACAACCTGATAGTTGCGGCGAACCAATCTCCTCCGGCTGCGAATAGCAGTCAGGCGCCACTCGAGGTTGATTCTAATAGCCTAGAGGTTAGCTTCCGCCATCTTTCGTCCCGCCTCTCAGTCTCTCTCGTACTCTCTCTAGATCTTCTGTTTATATCGTCCGGCAGTTAAGTTACCTTCTACGCCATTTTCGCCGAAGAATTGCTTCCGTTTCCTCTCTTCTTCTTCTTCTTTTTTTTTTATTTTTAAAAATCTTATCTTTTCTGCTTTTTGGCCAGAAAATATTTTTTATTCTACTTGCAATATTTCTTCTAATAGAGTTTGGGAGAAGTTCATGCACCCACGGCTCTTACGACATAAAGGTCAAACTTGCAATATCACACCTCAAGGAGACACTTTATTGTGTGGGGATTTTTTTTTTATAATTTTTTTGTTAAATTTAAATTATACTGCAAAATAGTATAATAGGACACGCAGTTCCTTGCAAATTATAATATTATTCAGGGGTGCATTTTTTGTGCTCATCATAATTTGCACCGCCAGGTTTGATAAAATCTTATTTTTTATATTTTTAATAAATTATCATTTTAATATATATAATTTTAAATAAAGTTAATTTTATAATAATGTAAAAAATAATTTTTATACAAAAAATTATTTATTAAAAATTTTAAATTGAAACCATTAAAATCAATTTTAGATAGTCCAGATCACATTATTGCAATGAGCATCGAAACCAAGCAGTAAATTTTATTTGATATTAACTAACTTATTTATTTCATATTTGGTGATCGAATTACACGGCATGGCATTTTCAAAACCTTTTTCGTGGCTATTTTACTTTTTAATTTTGCGTTTTTTTTTTCATAATTTATGGCCGATCATAATTTAATATTTTTTTCATTGCTTCAGATTCTCGATTTGCAGTGTTACGTCACCCAACATGATATTGGTATATTTTGTTAACGTGACTGACTAATTCACCAATACTGTTAAGTCTTAACTCCTTCATTACACCTTCTCTAGTTCTCTCTGTCAACCTTTCTTCTTGTGATTACGAGTGTGTTACATTCCATATATGATGAGAAGGGTTAATAGATTATGATATAGATCAGAACTTGAGAATGTCTTGAAGATAATCCAAATGACACGGATCACAAGACATGTGAGTCACTCATATTCAAATTGAATTTGAATTCTGTTCAGTATTTAGTTTATTTGAATAAAACTAGAATCACAAGTCTATTACACCCTTGTAGATATTATTAAGTTGAAAAATCAGAATGAACACATGAAAATTGGGGGATAGCTAGGCAGATTCAAAATCGATGAAGGCCATTTGTGCTATTGATCAACGAAGCAGGGATCCAGTTCAGGAGTTGACATTGTCCACGGCAGAGCTTCTTCCCTGCGCGTTGAACGATTCCGGCGGCGACGGTAATATCCGGTAAGGCTGGGTGGATTTGGACCGGGGCTTCCTCTTCCGAACAAAACAGAGCTTTCGAACCTCGTCTGTCCTGTGTTATGAATCCGTTCCGTCCACATTCCTTCGATGCCTCCGCCGCTAGCTTTGCCGACGGCGGACGTCTACCTAACTATTTCGATGCATTGGCCGTGGATCATTTTTGAGATGAAGGGGTATTTCGGTCCTTTTGCACATCTTACCTTTCATTCCACAGCCTCTTGTTCACCTACCAGGTGCTTTCTCCCTGTCTTCACATGACTGAAACGGGATGTCAGAGATACAATGGAAAGAGTAGCTCTATATTCTTCTCCATTGCATTTAATCTCTTCATTTATCTGATTCCATATCACGTATCGGGGTCATTTTCCACAATGGAAGGTATTTGCGCTCATCTTAAAAGGGATTGGTATATATCACGGTCTCTCTTCTTTCGGTCCTTTTTTCCGTTTCCGTTTCATTTACTTATTTTTGTATTTGTTGAGCTTTTCGCTTCTGATTTCTGTTGCCATGATTTATTATATTTCTCTTTCGTCAACCCAGAAGATCCCTCCCCAAAATCTGCACGCCTTCTATATTTGTTTGATTGCTCCTATGCAATCTAAAATGTTATCCTTCGGCAAAACCGTGGAAAGACCGTCTTTGCATTCCAAGATTTATTTTCATACGCTCGCTTAGACGGACCTCTTCTTTCTGGCAAATGAATGGATGACATGAACTTTTAAATTTTACTAAATTGTTGTAGTAATTGAGTGTGTGTCAAAAGAAGTCTCACATTGCCTAAATAAAGAGTTCTCCTAAGATATAAATATTAAGAAACGAAATGAGCTAATAAAATGAGTTGGGAAGAGAAGTGAGTTCGTGTGTACAAAATAGGCCAATTCGATGCAAATGCATTTGAAAACAACCAATTTGTCTCCCTGTGCATGAGTTCAAGAGGCATTGGAGGAGGAGAGCCTCCTTTGATTATGTTCCGTTTTGTGCTTCATCTGAGTTTGCTAGTGTTTGCTGTTTTGTTTCCTTGCGTTTGCAGGATATACTTGTTTAATCTTGGAAAATTGGCGGTATTTTTAAGAATAGTATCCTCTGACACGACTTAAGCAGTTCTCAGTTTCCTACCTGCCGCCAACAGCGATTACCTTTTTAATTGAAAAAACATTTCTTATATTGCTTACATAACTTGTTGATTAACTGGTGGCGCAAGTATTTTCTGTTCGATGCTTGCTAATTTTGAAAACCATCTTGTGGGTGCAGAAGCTTAGGACTGCACCAAACAGACGGCGCAATATTGAAATGAGGCGGTACGATAGGGATGACTACGTCACCGTTGATGGGTTACCCTCCCCCAGGGTAAATAACTTGAAGAAAGTTTCCGTTCTTCCTCTCATATTCATCATCTTCTATGAAGTTTCTGGGGGCCCTTTTGGCATCGAGGATACAGTGCAAGCCGCAGGTCCTCTGTTGGCCCTCCTTGGCTTCTTGGTTTTCCCATTCATATGGAGTGTCCCAGAAGCTTTAATTACTGCAGAAATGGGTACCATGTTCCCAGAAAACAGCGGTTATGTGGTTTGGGTTTCTTCCGCGTTGGGTCCCTATTGGGGGTTCCAGCAAGGCTGGATGAAGTGGCTCAGTGGGGTAATTGATAATGCCCTATACCCAGTTCTCTTTCTTGACTATCTGAAATCGGATATCCCTGTTTTAGCCAGTGGCTTTCCAAGAATTGCTGCGGCCTGGGGATTGACAATAGTTCTCACATTTTTGAATTATAGGGGTTTAACCATTGTGGGATGGATTGCTATTCTTTTAGGGGTTTTCTCACTCCTTCCTTTTGTGGTTATGGGCTTTATGGCAATTCCAGACCTGAAACCTTCAAGATGGTTGGTGGCGGATTTGAATGATATGGATTGGAATTTGTACCTGAATACTCTATTTTGGAATCTCAACTACTGGGATTCCATTAGTACTCTTGCTGGAGAAGTGGAGAACCCAAAGAGAACTCTTCCAAAGGCTTTATTCTATGCTTTGATCCTAGTAGTTTTAGGATACTTTTTCCCACTTCTAATTGGCACTGGTGCGGTTCCTCTCAAGCGTTCATTGTGGACTGATGGATACTTCTCTGATATTGCCAAGATCATTGGAGGAGTTTGGCTGAGTTATTGGCTTCAGGCAGCTGCTGCAGTGTCAAACATGGGGATGTTTGTTGCTGAAATGAGCAGCGATTCCTTTCAACTTTTAGGGATGGCTGAGAGGGGAATGTTGCCTGAGTGCTTTAGCAAGAGGTCTCAACATGGAACCCCACTTATAGGAATACTTTTCTCAGCCTCAGGCGTACTTTTACTGTCATGGCTGAGCTTTGACGAGATTGTAGCAGCTGAAAACTTCTTGTACTGCTTTGGAATGATTTTGGAGTTTATAGCATTCATATTGTTAAGGATCAGACGCCCCAATGCATCTCGGCCTTACAAGATACCAGGGGGAACAACTGGAGCAATTCTTTTATGTATACCTCCGACAATAACGATTGGTATTGTGTTAGTTTTGTCCTCTCTCAAAATCTTGGTCATAAGCCTCATTGCTGTGTTCATTGGCCTTGTACTGCAGCCTTTTCTCAAACTTGCAGAGAAAAATGGATGGCTGAGGTTCTCAATGAATTCTGAGCTCCCAGATTTTGACGATCAGGAGAACAGTCATTCTTTAATGAACTAAACTTTATCCTTGTTCAAAAGACTTCAGTTTTTTTGTGAAGTTAAGTTGCAAATACATAGGGAGATGCTCCAACCAAGATGGCATAATGGAGTGAGAACAGTATTGGTCATTTCACAGCATTTCTTGAATGCAACAACTGTACAATGGAAGATTTTGATTCCATCAGCTTCATCACAGGTGGTTTTTGCTCACATTTTTCAATGTAAAAATGGAAGCGGTTGTAATTAGAAACATGTAAACAAGTGTGTTTAGAATGCCATAGAAAATAAAGTTATGAAGTTACAGTACTTTTTATTGAGTGATTGCATTTGAAGGTTGAGTGGATAGTTTTGTTTCAATCTTATTGGCTTTCATGTGTCTCAACTGTTATCGAAATTGTAATATGAATGTGTGTGTGTGTGTGTGTGTGTGTGTTGGCAGAGTAGTATATATATGGTTGATTACAAATTAGCATCTGAATGAAATCCTTCACTTAGGCTTCACAGTGAGGTTAACGTGTTCTGGGCTTAGCCCAAGTGTAGCATAGTTTTTTGGTGAAGTTCAACCAAGCTTTCCCGTTTCTTTAGCCCATGAGTTCTTGAGTCCCAAATGAAAATTACTTGCATTTTCAACTACAAATAAAAATAGTAATAACCATTGCGCGCTTGGTAAAGTTAGCAAGAGCTACTATCAATATTTTTTAGGGTGAAGGTTCGAACTCTAGGGAGTGACGGACGTAATAATTAACGTGATCTCAAAGAGGCCATTCCATAGGTACCACGCTATCATTCTAAGATCTCTTCACAGGAGGTTTGGATTAGATTGGGACGAGTAATGAACCTGAGATATCGGATAGTTTATACTAAAAAAAAGTAATTTTTTTGTCTGAAAAATAATCATAAATTTGAAAACATGATTATAACAAAAAAGAAGAGAAAAAAATGATAATATATTAAAAATTAATAAATTTTTTTGTTTGAAAAAATAATCATAAATTAGAAAACATGAGTATGACAAAAAAGAAAAGAAAAATAAGAATAATAATATATTTTTTTATTATATATAAATATAATTCATTTGGTTGAGGAAAAACTGAGAAAAAGGACCTACTTAAAAAAGAAATTGTGCTTAAGGATCAAATTAAATTCAAGGACCAAACTAAATATTTTATTCATTAAAATATATGATCAAATGACCAAAATATTCCTTCATTTAAACAAATGAAATTGAATAAAAAAAAAGCTGCTTATTCAATACATATGCCCCAAGCTAAAAGCCTTGTATTCCAAATAAGAAGTTTTGCACCTCAAGCCACAAGCCTTACACTTTAAATCAAAAGCCTTGCATTGAAACCACAAGCTTTACATTGAAGCTAGAAGCCTTGCATCGAGCTATAAGCTTTACCCCTAAAGTCAAAAGCCTTGCATCCCAAGTCAAAAAGACTTGAACTCCTAGCTACTTGCACCCCAACTTAAAAGCCTTGCACCCAAATCAAAAGCCTTGCACCCATGATAATAAAAATTAAAACTTGGGTGTAAAGTTTTTGGCTCAAGATGCAAGGCTTTTGGTTGAAGGTGCAAGACTTCTGACTTGAGGTGTAAGACTTTTGACTTTAATGTAAGGCTTCTAGTTTAAGGTTCAAAGTTTCTAGCTTAGAGTGCATTTGTTGAATAAACAACTTTTTTTTTCAATTTTGTTTGTTTAAACAAAGGGGTATTTTGATCATTTGTTCATATTATTTAATGAATAAAATATTTAGTTTGGTTTTTGAATTCAACTTGACCCTTAGGTACAATTTTTCAACTAGATCTTTTTTACCAACTTTTCCTTTAATTTATTAAATTTTTAAATTCATGATCAAATTAAACCTTGGCCAATAAGTTGAACACCCTACTTAAAAGGAGCAAGGGATGAATTATTTGATTTTTTTTTAAAATAAAACATTAACACTAAGCTATTTAAGATAATTATATAAGACTAATACGTGGTATTCTAAAGTATAGAAATTTGTTTTGAAAAGAATAGGCTATAAGGATTGATTCATTATTTTTTCTGTTGGCAAGAAAAGATCAATGCCTTTTTTCTAACAATTATTTATCGTAAGGGGTAATTTAAATTATCAACAAACTAAATAAAACTAATAATATTAAGCATCTCGAGGGTGAAGAATAAAATTGTGTAACATGAAATGAGATAAAATGTATATTTTCGGTTTTTGGCTCCAAAAGAAAAAGAGTGAAAACTGGAAGTGAAAGGCAGAGGGAAGAGGATTTGTGTTAGAAGCTGGAAAGAGAGGGAGATGGGAAGAGTTGAATCTTGTTTTTGAAAACAAAGGGAGGTGAATTTGTGACTGAGGCAAACAGTTTCATCCTTCTTGAGTGGCAAGAGGCTGTGAGAAGGGAGATGGGTAATCCGCAGAACACGAGGGCAGGCGACGACCTTCATGCCTCCGCAAGATCCGGTGACCTCAACGCTGTTCAGTCAATTTTGAGGATAAACCCTTTGGCTGTCAATTCCAGAGATAGGCACTCTCGAACACCGTATCCTTCCTTTTATCATCATCATTTTACTTCTCTACCTGCCTTTTTTTTTTGGTCGACTGTTTGGAACCCTAAGATTACCTTAAAAAAATTGCTCGGTTGCAGTGAAAAGCTAAGCGTAATGTTTAAAGGGGGTTATTGTCTGTGCCGGTGTTGGTTTCAGCCGGCAGCATAAAAAACCTTGGCATCGGTATATCTGGAAAACCTTTCGATTTGGTGGTATGTTTAAAACATTGTTGTCTTAAATCCGTCTTAAAATTAAAAACATAATACGGAGCAGCTTCTATCAAGATTTATCTGTTTATCTTGATTATCGATGTTGGTTACCGAGTGTAAAATTGGTCTTGTCGCCTGTTGGTGTCTCCCATCTGCTTTTATTTCTCTGCAGACTTGAAATCCGAATTCTTTCCTGTTTCATGGTAACTTAATGATGATTATAAAGTTCTTACTGTAAGTATGAACAGTGTTCATATTGGATCCTGATCACGAAAGCAACCCCCTCTGGAGACTGATGCTGTGCTTTGGTTTTGGACAAAGCTTAGTAATTACTGATTAGAATAATTTGCTTATAATGAAGCATGCAATTCTTTTTTTCTAAAGAAAGCAAACCAGAATATGTGTGGTAGTGTCACCTGAAAATGTTGGATTTTAAGAAGGGCTGTGGTGAGAGAATACAAGGGGTGCAGAAGCATAGTTAACCTGAAGCTCTTAGCAAGTTTAATGTAAGGAAAGCAGTTATATTTGAAATTACAACACACTAGTCCTGAATAAGCATTTTCTAGTTCAGCACTGTAGATCGATGAACTTAGTTTATCTCCACCTTTTCCTGTTCTTTTCTTGTTCTTCTGCTGTGTCTACAGTTTTTTGGAACTAATCTCTACTGATATCAGCATTTCAAAATGGCGCTCATTGGCCAGCCTGGAGACATAAACGGATGATGTATTCCTGCATGCCTAATAGATTGGAAAAGCAAAGTTTTTGGTTGAGGAGACTTCAACGTGGAATTGAGAATTTAAAATTTTCTGGTATAAAAAAGTGATGTAGGCATGCATTTTTGTTCCTGCAGAAGTTTCACCCCCATTGTGCGATGATATTTATTGTTAAAATCATATATCCTTTTGTAGAAAAATAAATAAATAAAATAATAAATATTCCCTTTGTTCCTATTGATATGGCTTGTGAGTGTTTCCCTGCATTTCATCCTTTTATGCTGGGCATGCATAGTAATAATGACGTAAATATAATAAGCTGGGTAAGATGTGGTTTTCTTGTTATTTTGGGATCTTATTGTAGATTTCATGTGTTACTATCTGGTTTCCTTGACAAGAAACTTTGGAACGTAGACTTCATTTAGCAGCATGGTCTGGGCAAGCAGAGGTTGTCAACTATCTCTGCAAGAACAAGGCTGATGTTGGTGCTGCTGCCATGGATGACATGGGAGCATTACACTTCGCTGCACAAAAGGGACATTTAGACATTGTACGGGCCCTACTTTCAGCTGGGGCCTCTGTCAAAGCATCCACTCGCAAAGGCATGACCGCGCTTCATTATGCCGCCCAAGGGTCCCATCTTGAACTTGTCAAGTATTTGGTGAAGAAAGGGGCAAACCTTGGTTCCAAGACAAGGGTTGGAAAGACCCCTTTGGATCTTGCTGCCACCGAAGAAATCCGTTCGTTTCTGGAGGAACGTGAAAGGCTGGGCAAGAATGGAGAATCAAGCAAGAAAGAGAAAGCCGAAGGTGGTGATTTGAAACCGTCCACGTCTGGACCTGAAGATCATTCTGGTGCAGAATCTCCTGGTCCTGTCGTTGACGAAGAAAACAATGATGGAATTAAGAGGAAGGGTGATGAAGATGGTGCGAGAGAAGTCTCCCCACAGCCAAAAAAGGCAAGGGTTAAGCTAAGCCATCTTCAAAGTTCGGATGATGCCCAAGAAGAGGAGCTGTAGGTTGGCAGAAGCATGTGAGAGTGGAATCTTTGCCCTGTAATGGCATAATATCTGGAGTTCCTTTATACTAGGTTGATAGGTTTGACTATCTATTGTCTTTCTCAATTTTGCCATCTTTTCTTTCTGATATTAAATCATTCATATATTTCATCTCGTTGATTTATATATTAGATATGATATGGCCAGTTATTCATAGATTATTCGCTGGGTCTCCTTGGAACTACCCGGCGCTGTTGCGTCTAATGCTTGAACAAGTAGAAGATACCGCCTTGTGTTGTGTGTCCATGTTTTTGTTTTCACTCGAGCAAGGGCTTTGAGATTCACATACAGAAGTCAGAATCTTGTGATTAAGTTGTTTCTTTTTCATTAAGAAAGTACTAATTGCTTGAATCAAAACAAAAATACTCCAACTCCAATTTTGTTTTTGGTAAATATTACTACTTCCTTTCTTTTTTTCTTTTTTTTTTGGTAAACATTACAACTTCCTTTTTTTGGTAAGCATTCGAACTTCAATTTTATCCGTCAAGATGTGTCTAACCTTCACATTAGTGTCCATCTGAGAGCCAAGAGAACTCTCAAGCTCCTGGCTTGTTGTAGCAATCATCGTTCACATCTGCAGACTGGCTTCCTTCCATTTTTCTCCTTTCTATTTTTTCTCTACTTTTCATCTCAACCATTGAATTCATTTTTAGATAGTTGGGATCTAATGTTTCATAAAATTAAAATTAGATTTCAACCATTTAAAAATAAATTCAATAATTGTGATGGAAAGTGGAAAGAAAATGAAGAGAAACCAAGTCTTCGTATCCAAGTGTATAATTATATAATCAAAAGCAATGGTTATTAATAAAGAATACATACTATATATATGTGTGTGTCCAATACACAAAAACAATCTTGAAGTACCAAAAACAAGCATTTACAACAACCAACACAAAACAAGGAACATTTTTTTTCCCCATTTTTGTTTGCTATTGCAACAAGGGTGAACGCTGAACACGACCTGAAAAGCTTAGCAACATTTTAACAGCATCATATAACTTCTGAAACAACCGTCAGTATGAAAGTAATGAGATCATCATGAGCTTTAACATCCAACACAAATTGTCAAATCCATGATTGATAAATGGAACTTCAGAATGCTTTTTCTCACGTCTACGTATAATTTGAAACATTGAAACCATGGATCTTGCCTTTTCTTTTATTGCTTATAAATATTCTTCTACTACTCATAACATGGTCAGGTACTAAACGCTAAGAACCAAAATGGGTGTCGTGTCCATGTCGGACGTGTCCTGAACGCAGATGCGGCGTTTCCATGTCTTCAACTTTTTATCGATACAATCAGGAACGGGCAGGTAAGGGTGGATTCGGTAGGGCTACATAAAAAATAAGACGGCACTAGACTTTACCTTAACTCGAAGTCTGGTCTCTTCTATGAAAAAGATTGAATTAGGTAACCCGTAGTTTGATCTTGTCTGATGATAATCCAAAAATTAACAGGACCAGACTTGATCCATAGGATTGAAAGACTGATCCTATCAGTCCAGTATTCACTTAACTTTTTTTTTTATTCTATAAGAAGCAATAATTCATTTCAACATAATAAACTCAATTAAAATAATAAAAAAACTTATAATAATAATAAATCTATAATAATTTCTAACAATAAGAAAAAAATATTTCTGTCATAATTCAAATGATTTAAATTTATAACTTTAATAAAAATAGCACTCAATAAAATTCAACAACAACACATTACAACAACAATTTAAAAACAAATTTAACAAATCTTCATAAAATCATCTCCTTAGCATCAATTATACTTCAAACATTTGTCAAAAATAAATTAATTATAATTATAATAGAAAAATTAATAGGACTGGACTGGACCAAGTGGTTCAAATGTCTAGTCTCTTATCCAGTCTTATCCAGTCCAACCCGAAAAAATAATCTAATTTTTTTAATCTTTTTGGTCTTGAAGGATCAGTGTTTATACGGACCAAACAAAACAAAACTGAGATTATCTCAAGTTGGACTAGAACAGATAGAACTGAAAGATTTTTACACAGCCCTAAAATATGGGCTACATACGGCACAAGGCATTTTGGGGTTTTTTTTTTTTTTAACAAAACAAGATGCCCTACTTCATCAACCCTGAAACTTCTTTCATTCCCAAATCCCTCATCACCTCGCCTGACTCGTGCCACTCTGCAGCTACCGCAGCAGCTACATGTTCATGTCTTTGCCTTTGAATCTGATTTGAGAGCTTGGCGACCATTGCTCAAGCAATAGCACCAATCAACTCGCCGATGATAGTTCGACCTTCTCTACCCTACTTTGTCACCCTCGCTCGCCCTGTCAACTAGCGCAGTCACATCGCTCAGCTAGTCAACCATCGTCGCTCAGCCAATCTGACCTCCTCTCCTCTCCTCAGTTGGTCTGTCTCTCAGGTCTCGACTACTGCCAACTAACGTCACTCGCTCGCAAAACTCAATTTCTTTCCCCAGCAAGGATTACCTCATCATGCAATAATATAGCTTAATATTTATAAATTGTGACATCACACACGCAATAATATCAATTTCTAAGTGGCTGCCTTTTTTCTGTGTCAACATTTTGACAAAAAATATTTACAAATTTGCTAAGTCTCTCTTTATCAATATTATAGCCCACAACTTGTTTTAAATTTAGATAATATATACTTGTTTGCTTTAAATATTTATCTTTTGTTATCTAATATTGCTTAATTATATGTATGTATCAAAATATTTAATATTTAATTATTTATATAGTTATAGCTGTATCCTAAAATTTTTAAAAATTGCCATGTACACATATCATGCTATATCATATCTAATATTCATATCCATATCAATGCTTCATAGACTACATGTAAACAAATTTATTAACGAGAAATCAAAGTTTGATTTACCATGTTATAAAAAACTAGTTTCCTCTACCTCATCCAACCTCTGTTGGTACCATGGATCTTGCTTTTGCCAGCACATAAATAACTGAAAATGCCACTTCAAATTTGAGAAAAGGATTAGCACGCCTCAACTTTGCCCGTGATATATCTCCGCATACTTCCAGTTCCGAAATGGAACTCACCCGTGCTTGCACTAAAATAAAAGACAACATTTAGTTCATGTTTACCACAAGGGAACTAGTTGTGCATTGTCTAAAAGTCAAGACACCAAAAACCAGAACAGTTTAGACAATGATTCAATAGTTAAATGATCAAAACTATAGTCAAGCCGCAGTCAGATCTGCACCCAGCGTTCACTTTTCAATGCTAAGCTGAAAATACAAACTTCATTTGTTTCATTACGTAAATGTGTTGTGGGCTGTAATTAACTACATTAAAGTGATTTTAAGATTAAGCATCCGTTATCAAATTTGATGTTTGAATCTAGGTAATTTTCTTTTGGATTACTGAATTAGGATTGGTATTTCTCATTTTTTGATAGACCTTTATAAAGTTTTTGTCACTAACCTTTTTCTTCTGATTAATAAACATTGAGACATTTGAGAAAATTGAGTCAAGAGAATTTTTATTATTTCCCCTATATGTTATACAACAAATTTCAGATAAAATTATCCAGCTCTCTACAAGACTTGCAATATGAAATTTATTTACCATCCTGGTTGTCACTGAAGCATAAATTCCAAAAACAAAAGCAAAATAGTTCAAATAATACTACGGAGTACAATGGCTTTGGAATTTTAATTTTAAGTAATTAAAAAAATGTGAGATGGAATTAGTAGACAACAGCACTTTGAGCTGTTAATCTGTGGATCCATCTCAGCAGTTGTCTGGCTGCCTGCTGATTAAACAGCTTTCACTCTGTGCACTGAAGCTCATGGCGCCTCTACTGAGTCAGAGAGGCCAACGATGCAAGTGCAGCATCCCAAAGCCCCATACTTAAGCACTCCATGATATAAGAAGATAACATCATCATAATATAATGCCATGATTCCAATCTCTTCAGATAAAAGAGGTTCCAGAAGGTGATGATGGAATATGGATTCATGTATTACTGTAAATGGGTAAAGTGAAGCATTTTCTTGAACTATTATACAAACATCCAAAATTAAACATATTATACAACAGTTAGCATACCCTACATCTCAAAATAAGCAAGACAATATGCACGTCTCTGAGTGACTTGAGGAAAACACATGTTAATGAATTATATGAAAACAAGTCATGTGAGATGGAATTAGTAGGCAAGCAGCAGATAAAAGCTACTAACCTGTGGATCCATCGCCAACCATCAAACTAAAATGGCTGAACAAATTTCACTTTCTGCACCATGCTCAGGCCAAACTGTCAAATATCGAGAGAAGGCCCATGATTAAAGCGCAATGCCCATAAACCATTAATCCAAACCCCGGGTTAATCAACCAGTAGATTCAGCAAGACCGACACTCTTCAAAATGATGAATAAATAAAAAAAAATGGAGTACAAGATAAAGATGGACGATATATAATGGAATACTGACTTTTCAGTTGTCACAGATGGTGTATCATTCATAGCTAAGAACATGGGAGCAAAGTGTAAAAAAGAAACAGAATCACGTAGGTTAGGTAAGCGAGAGAAACCCAAATGCTGGTGTGATTTTAGAGACTGAAGCTCAATAAACTCCATGTTTGATGGTAATCTCTAACGCCAACGGAAAGATTCCGGAATTGATGCTCCGGCTGCTGTTGGTAGAATGAACTTCGAGGCTCTTGGTGATATATAAAGGAAGTACACGAGGAACCCTAATGCCTGGCCCACATCAATTCGGGTTGTGCACGACCCGAACCCAAATTTGTTTTACGCTGCGTTCAAGAACCAAGGTTTAGGTTATTTTATTTTTTCCCCAATTTTTGTTTGAGATTAATGGCTTATTTGAGCTGTTTTGGGACAGTTTTCCATTCTTTAAAATAAAAATAATAATATTTTTTTAAAAAGAATTTTTAAAAATCAAAAAATCAAATCAAAAAATAAAAATATCTTTTAAATGTTTTGGGATTATTGCTATGAAAAATAAAAAAAAATAAAAAATATTTACTTTTATTATTTTTTGTGCTTAAATTATATTTTACAAAACATTAATTCTCAAAATAATAAAATGAAAATAGTTTTAAATAAGTCTTAAATTTTTTATTTTTAATTCTTAATATAAACAATCTTTAAAATATTTTTTTTAAGAATAAGGAGTAAACCCTGCAAAAGAGAGTTTTTTTTTTTTTTGGGCTACGTACACTAAGATCGAAATTCTAATAACCATAGTACTTAAATGATTTTGTTTAAAAAAATCACTTATTTAAATGACAAAAATTTCTATCATCCATATCAATTTGAGTTGATCTTCAAAATGAATTGTTAGGTCTTTGGCCCAAAAAAAGGAATTTTTATGGACTCATGGTATTGCATTACATCTTTTTGGGCATAAACAAAATGTTGAGCATCTTCTAAATCCATAGCGTTTTTTTTTTTTTTTTTGGGGCGGAACCATCCATGTGGCTAAGATGTCAGATTCCACAAATTAACATTTTAATTTTCATATTTCATCTTCTTTTTTTTTTTTGCCGGCATGTCATATTTTACCTTTGCATCAATAATATATTCGACCGGCATATATTTTCTTCTTTTTTTTTTTGGGTAACCATCAACAATTAGGCCCGCTTTTTTCAATTAATAAATTAATAATCAAATAATAGAATAAAAACATAAAATTGAATGCATGAAAAAAGGTTTGGAAATGAGAAACAAAACCGTATAATAGCTTATGAAAATAGTTTGAAAAGTATACTCTTGAATTTTGACTCAACATGTTATTCTTTTACCCTTCCAATGAATTATACAAGCTTGAATGAATCATGAATAATTATCAAATGACATTGTATAAATTGCACCCCATCAAAATGGATGAAACATTGATTAAAAAGAATTTGAACAGAATAATTAACCAAAAATAAAACAAAAATCAAGAAACAAATCCCCAAGTTGTTCTCACCTAATCATGGCCACAATCATCATTGGTTAATTAAAGTTAAAAATCATTTTCAGCATTATGCACAAGTAAGAGAGTCAACTCAATTACCACCTTGGATACAATTAATTAACTATTAATTAATACTCCTCTAATCCTATTTATAAAATAAAAAAATTATTTTTATTTTATTTATAAAACACTTCAATATTTTTTATACTTATCTTTATATTTTTGCCCTTGTCAATGTTAAGAAAGATTGTTAAAAACAATTTTTTTTTTTGGTCTTTACTAGAGTGTATAGGTAAGAATTTATTAAATTTTAAGACATGATTAATGATGTTTAAAATTTTCCTTGATTTTAATAAAATATACTAAAAATGACTTATAAATAGCATCATATCGAATAACATGTAACATTTATCATATTATTTAAGCATTATCTTGTATTCATGCCCAACTTAAGAATACCTCTCCAAAAAAATTTAGCTTCTATTATATACTTGTATACATGAAGTCATGCTTGCCCTTAAAATGCCACTTCATGGCGTCAGTAGTAAACTAGTTAAGAAGAAAAATGAATCTCTTCTCAGTGGAAATTCTGTGTTCAGCAACATACATTTACAGGGCTGAGCAGCAATTAAACAAATATAAGAATCACAGTCTAAGCTCTTTATACATCGACCCTACAACTACGATGGCATCGATCCCTTTCTTTTCTCTCTCCTTATTCATTCAACAGTGTTTGAAGCAATTTTTCTCTCTTCATTCTTCAACCCTAGTTTATGCCGACTACAAGAAATACAATGAAAAGCAAAAACGACACCTGCACTGCATTCCAAAACTGTCTTGGGCATGTTTTTTTTTTTTTTTTCCAGAACACTTTGAAGATGGATCACCCATTTACACTTGGGGTCAAATAACAGAGCTGAAACTTTCAATCGGATCCGATTCTTCAAGCATGGAAGCTGCCTGGAAGCAGTCAGCAGCATCACTCATCCGACCATCCTCTTTGTGAACAACACCCATATAATACCAAGCCTTGCAATTAGTGGGGTCTACTCTCAGAGCTTCAGAAAGTAAGCTTCTAGCCACAGGCAATCCCTTTGAACCGATTTTTAGCATTAGAGAACCTAACAAGATCTTGCTTGGAACATAGCTTGGATCCAGGATGAATGCGCTAAAGAAGGCACCAAGAGCAGCTTGATCTTCTTCACATCCTTCAAATATTACACCTGTTGGAAGAACCACACAGAAAAGTATAAGTTTTCTAAACCTAGAATAGGCCCCGTCAAAAAAATCTCAGTTCTTTGCTTCACGCCAACTCATGATGAATGTATGCTCTGCTTTCTCATCTTTGGGAATTGATTGTCACTTGACAATCTTAATGTTTTAAATTCATCATACGTGAATTCAAGCCACAGGTCTATGGCCTAGATCAAAAGTAATTTCCCAACAGGACAGAATTGCAGGCCAGGAATTAAATCCCAAGTACTGCCTCCCATATGACAAATTCTCAACTAGATTAAAAATGGAACCAAAAGAAGAAAAGTCCCAGTGCCAAAATAAAAAGGTTTGAATAGGTTAAAGGTTCTGTTCTTGCCTTTGGTGTGCATCAATGCAGCAGAATATGGCTTCAACACTTTGGCCTTTCGCAAACATATTTCAGCATCCTTCCAATGAGAAAGACTGGCATATAAATTTGCCAGACCATGCCAAATCTCAAATTCATTTACTTTACCATCATCAACCTAAAGGAAGTTAATAAAAGGAAAATAAAGAATTCATGGATCAACATTTAATTTAGGATGAGTCCCACTGAATAATGAACATATAAAGCCCTTCCGGTTTTCTTCCTTTTGATATGAAAGCTTTATTTCTTCAATACTAAAACAAAGAGGAAACAAGCCTTTGCTTCAATATAAAAATATTGGGACTACAGATAGCAGATAAGCTCTAAGACAAGAGAAACCAAAACAAGGCAATAGAATCATCAAATTAGATGTATAAAAACTCCATGGCTAAGACGATCATTCTCCTGAAAGGAGGGAGACATCTTTGTACAATTCAATTCAACAGGAACAGCAATCCCCTACAGATAAACTCAGTCTTAGCAGTACCATCTAATGCATATATGTGCATAAGCATTTTAGAACATCACAAAACTAATTTATGAAAAGAAAAAGTTATCCAACACTCCCATCAAGGTGACATGTTTGGCTACCATTAAAATGAAAAAAAAAAAAATCTGAAACAAGCAGAGAATGTAGCTAACTGATTAAACGGTACCTGCGGACAAGTAAAGAGTGAGCCAAAGGATTTTCTCTGGGCTTGAACCAATGCAAGGAGGTACCGATATGTTTCAATAGCATCCATGTGTCGTGATTGGGAGATCTTAAGCTTTGCTTTCAGCCTAAGCAGCGGGCCCTGTTCCCATTTTGTAGTTTGATCTAGAGCTGCATCTGTTACCACCTCAGCCTCTGAAATTTTTTGTTGAGCAGACAAAACCAGGGCAAGCATTCTCCAACTTTTTAATATAGATCCACCTGTTTCATCAAAGAACTTCTTTGCATAGGACAAAGCAGTGGTCAAATTCCGGTGCTCTGCATATTTAATTGCCAGCTCAAGGGTTATATCAGAATTTTTTGGCTCCACTCCAGCTGCCTCCTCCAATGATTTCAAAGCTTTGGACTGAAGGCAAGACCTCTCAAAGTCAGAGGAAGCAGCCTTAGCTTGCTTTCCCAGACAAAGTCCCAACATTCGGAGACCCACACCTTTAAGATGCTCATTTGGTCCCTGAGCATTTGCGATTGCCCTTTGTGCATACCCTACTCCCTCAGGAGCAAGTTGAGGATCCTCACAGCAGATCCTGGCAGCCAACAGCAGTGACATAACCTCATCTGGTCGATCATGATTACGCAAAGACTTCCGCAGAAGATTCAAAGCACTTTTGTTATGTCTAGCTCCACTCTGACATAAAGCTAAATAATTCCAACGGTCAGTCCGACTGTAAACCCCAGGCATTAGCTCTTCAAGTTGCTTAGCCAATACAGATGTTTGGCCACATACAGAAAGTGCAAAAGTCAGGTGTTCCATCACTGATGGATCCCATTTGGTCTGACCAAAGCAAAACTTTCTAATGAGAATCATAAGAAGCAGAATTGCCTCTTCCAAATTATTTTTAGGTACATATGACCCATCAATCTGAACCGCTAAACTGGGTGGGCTAGCCTCTACCCCACTGTACAACAAAAATACAACAAAACTTTTCTGAATTCTTGCACAGCAATCATTAGCAAGGTTCCATTGACTGAGAAGGGCACGCCTATAGGCAGATATTGCCTCATGATAGCAACCAGCCTGTGTCCAAAGCTCTGGAAGGAGCTCTACAGCATGGCTCACTATCTCTTGCAATCTATTGTCCACATGAATATCAGGTATTCCCTGATAAAATATCTTTTCAACGGCATCAAGCACACTTTTGCATTCATTTGCAGCTTCTGCGGAATATTCAGGGCAGATATTTGATTCTCATTCAGGAAGAAAACAGGAATAGGAAAGAGAACAACATGTGTGCAATAACTTTAAAATATAATTAGATACCAGTTAATCTCCCTAGAGTTTGTAGAGAACGTGCTTTTAAGTAGATGGCTTCAAGTACCAAACTAGCAGCATGCTGAGAGACCGAAGGAGGTGGCTCAGTACGAATCCGCCCCTTCTTAGTTAATGGTTTTTCCGGAATGGAAGGTTGCAATCGCTGTATGGCAGCTTGGAGATCAATCCCATCAAACACACGAAGAGCGCCTTCCACATTCCCTCTCTGATACTCCAACTTCCCCAGAAGTGCCCTTGCTTCCTGTTAAAGTTTATCAGTAATCAAGTGACCAAAGAGCATAACTCAAGTACATGATCAGCTAATCTCCCAGGTGCTGCCCCAATACGCCAAATTTCCATGACCACCATACATCTAATGGGTAGTTTGTGATAAATTTACAGCAATGGTTTAGCTCTAATTGCTATTTTCATCAACAGTTTTCGCTTGTAGGGAAACTGACCTCAAAATTGAGTGATAAGCCTTCACGCAATGAAGATTCTGCCTCTTGAATATCTCCTTCATCAAGCTTTGCTTCAACTTCTGCTGTTCCCATGCAACTCCCATTTTCACAGACTTCTCGAACTGTCATGCCCTCATGCTCGCTGAACTCCATGGATCATTTCCCCCCTCACCTACATACACATCCACATATTCGCTCTTAAGTTGCAATTTCGTTACTTTATGACATGCTGATGACATTGTACATAAGGTATTTCGCAATTGAAACAGCTTAAACAAAAACCCAGATAAATCTTTTGGAAGTTTCACAATAACAATAAATAAACACAAACAGCAATGATCGAAGGCAAGAAAGCCCATCTGAAATGGCGACATTCTAGGATTTTTCCCGACCAAAAACATCATGTCACACGGCATTGCTTGGGGACAGATCCAAACAATGCGTACACGACTTAACGCCGGTCAAGATTTATACAGTCTCTTGTCGGTTAAAGCCATTACTCGTCAAACGGGAAAAAAGAAATAAACTTTCGCAGAAAATCTCGAAATTGAAATTTAAAAAATGCCGAATAAAACAGTTTCAGATCCAGAATCCCAGTCCAAAAATGGTAGAATGACAGAGAAAACACGATCTGACAACTTACCAAGCTCCGGAACTACGGTGAGAGATTCAAAAGTGAACCGAAATTGTGATCTTTCAGACCATCATTTTCAGCGAAGGATCTTCCTCCAAGTGTTTTGATCTCGAGATTGTGATTAGCATTGTGTAGCAACCCACCCAGGCAGTAAGATGCCGATCCGGCAGATCAGTGGATTTGTTTGTCTTTTGTGAGGAAAATAAAAACAAGGAAGGGAGCGAGGTCAAACACTAGACTACAAAATACTCATGAACGTGCAGTGACAGGCAGTTTCGTGGTGGATTGGGGTTACGAAGCGCGATATCAGGAGGATGGGTCTTCTTTGTTTCCGGTCTAACCTGTGAGTCTAGTGTATGAAATTAGAACTGTGAAAGCCGACTTTGTGGTGGACCAATTGAGTTCACTCTTAACCACTGTTGCCTCACTCTTTTTGTTTAGCTCTTAGCTGTTACTAACCTAAGTTTGACCTTCTCTAATTCCCTGCTTACTTGTCTCTCTAGTATCGTTATTTATCATTTATTACGCAATTAATAGTCAATAATAATATCAATCAATTTCATTAATAACATCAAAAATATTTTTTCCAAAATTTTAATTTTCTATTTATATTTTTTCAATGTTTTTTTATAGTAGTGTATAATATTACTGTGTCAAATTAAAGTATTAGAATTTGAATAATAAAATATATATATATATATATATATATAAGAGTATTAAGTTGGGGGAAAATCTCAAGTTAGGTGGATTCATCAAAGCTGTATCCTGTTGGTTTATGATTCATCAAGTAGAAGTGACTTAGTAAAAGTTTTTTTACAAGCACAATATAAGATGAGATTTTGTTCTAAAAGTTAAAATTTTCTATGTAATACTACTTAAATTTGAAATTTGGAAAGTTGTGAAGTAAAAACTTAAGATGAAGAGTTTTTTTTTAAAAAAAAAAGGAAGAAGAAGATAGTTTCTCTTAAATCTCCCAACTTAATACTATTCGCAGTAAACAAAATTGAAAATATTTTAAAGGATTTTAAAATTAAAATTTTTATTATGAGATTCTATTTCAAAATCTTTCAATATCAGGGGAAGTGGTATTGGTTAAATTGTCTAGTTAATTAAATGCCTAATAACTTGTAAATGCTTAATCAATAACAACATAACTTGGATCAAGGGATTCTCCAATAAATTTAGCCATCTACCTATTACATTCACTAAATCCATTTTAAAGGGCAGCAACAAATCTAGAATTTAATTGCTTGGAGCCAAATGGAAAATAAAATAAAGAATCAGGGAGCCAAAATCCATTTTAAATTGGTTTACAAATAAAAAACATAGGTTTTAGCAAAAGGCATATGACATATGGGAGGCAAGAACTCCTCCTTGTCTCCTTAGATTTGTCGCTGATGGAGGAATTCACCATCAATTTAAAACCTTGTTAGGTTTGATGCGACTAAATAATTTAAATATATAGCAATTTCATGGAAGTTTTGAAAGTTACTTGAAATAATTTCTCCACTTATGCCACATTTAGTTTCAAGAATTTTGACTTATGAAATAATAATCATATCTCTATTCCAATTTTACTTATATTTGCTTGCTTATAAGAGACATGAAATAACCTTTTTCAAAAATATTGATTACCATATTTTTAGAAATAGGCTAACCTTTAAAAAATGAGAGAAATCATATCACCCGCCTTAAATTCAACATGTTTTTATCAAGATATCCTTGTTAACTTTTCATATCTAGCCCATTTTTCTTGATTATTTTTTTCATTTTTGCCAATAGTCAATTTTCTATATTTTCAAGTTAATTTTTCTTAAAATTAAATTTATTAAAATTTTTAGTTTTAATTTTATTTATTATTTTCTCTTTAGAATATTTTTAATATTATAAGAAATATTTTTTAAAATAAGTTTTTGAAATTAGTCAAATTTTAAATTTGATTCCTTGTGTATGGTATTTTATATATCTTTCTCAATGTTTTTCTCTTACAAAGTAAAATTTAAATTTAAAATATATTTTTTAAGAATATTATGCATGTGCGTATGAATTTAAGCTAAAAGCCTCTAGAAACTTTTGAATGAAAAGAAAAGAAGTAAGAAATAATATAGTTTTGATCTTTTTATTTTAATTTATATTTAAAAATAATATAAATAAACTTCATTCCCACCTACTTAAGCATTTTAAAATCCATAGTCATGATTATTCTATCCCTTTATATTTCCTACGATTCGATTCATTTCCACAACCTTGCTTTTCATTGATCAAACATGATCTTAGTTTTGCATTGTTGCGTGACTAACGCAATTAGAGATATTAGATATCTAATTATGGAAAATTAGTCTATTTATTTTGACTAGATACATAAGTAGAAGTTACGTACTAGATTTCTTATTAAATTTATTATATAGACCTTAATTTTATGGTTAAAGAAAACCCATCTCCGGATACATGACAATCTCTAGCTTGTTGATTTGTGTGATAAGCATCTTGCTTTTGGCTAATTTTTCCTATGAAGATTGATTCCATAATCTCTACTTAAAAAAAAAAAAAAAATCCATATACATTGCAGAATCAATAATTTGGGAAGAAGCGAGAGGATGAGGGGTTCATGGTCGTACCTTATTGGAAAAAGTGATAATTAAGGCCTTCATAATAATATTAATGATAATTATAGACTTTAAATCATTAAAATTTCAACATCAAACTGTGATTTTTACTTATAATAAATTACTTCTTATTGATTAACTTAAGATTCGTAATAAACTTTTATAAATTGCTATAAAGATTCATACATATTTTTTTATTGATTTCCTAAGTGATAGCAAAAAAAAAAAAAATGATTAGCCTGTGATTTACAATTGGCATTACATACAATTCCAATTATACTTTGTAAGTTTTTCACTTGATTTATTTATATATTGACAATGAATATTTACAAGTGATTAGCTTGCAATTTATAACTCACTTTTATAAATCTCAAAATAATATTATAAATAATCACAAATGTGTTTTCTTGATTTTTTAAGTGATTTACGTATATATTGATAGTAAAAAATTAAAATTTATAACTGACTTTCATAAATTATCAACTAAAGTTATAATAATCCTAAGTATATTTTATTAATTTTTCAACTGATTATTCATATTTTTTAATTATAAATAAAAATCATGGCTTGTTATTAGAATTTTAATAGTTTAGGTTTGCAATTATCAAAGATGTTATTATGAGGCCTCTAATTGTCATCTTCCTTTACTTTTTTTGACCAGTTTTATAGCCTTATCTTACCGTCACTACTAACTACTAAATTCATTTAATAAAATCTATAATTCACAATTTAGACATGCATTTCATTTAGACTTCATTGCATCCTAAATTTATTTGTTTAAACTCTCTACCATTATATCTCTTATCCTAATTTATATTTTTTTACTTCCATTCTTTTTTAAAAAAAATCCTCCAACTGACCAAACAAGTCCAAGAAAAGAAATTCCTCCCGTGGAAAAAACAGTACAATTCTATAAATTTGAAAAATTTTATTATATACTTCCTCTGTTTAAAAATATAAAGTATTTTTTAAAGAGTTAGATGTTCAAAAATATAAGATATTTTTATTCTTTTGAAGTGTAATCATTGTCTTTTTTTTTAAAGTGCCCCTATTGATAGTGACTTTATATTTATTATAAATTATTTAATAAGAATAAATATAAAAATATAGGGTTAATTTGAAAGTAAGTAATTATTTTATTGAGGAATGAAATTCGATTAAAAATATTTTATATTTTTTAATGAAAGAAGTGTATGTATATATATATATATATATATAAACAATCCACATTGTTATTATTATTATTTTTGGGAAGCTTGCCATCAATAGTATCCTGTTAATATAATGATTCTTAAATTGACACCCTGATATGTACTTGATTTTGATGGAGGAAAAACAAAAAATAGAGGAAAAAATAGGATGTTGAGAAAATAAAGGAAATAATAATAATTTGTAAATTTTAAAAGTTTTTCTTCTATTTTTTTAAAAACAAATTTGTAGGAGGGATGAATCCACTAAGGGTCATCAAACATATGGTTTAGTTTGATTTTAATCAAAACATGAACCAAACTGAATCAATTAGTTTTTACAAAAAATGACACTTAATTGATTTTTTATTGAGCTTGGTTTAGTTCAGTTTTTAGGTGGTTTGGTCTATATATGGATTAATTTTTTATATTTTTTAAATATATAAAACATATTCCCTTCATTAAAATATGTAATGTATTTTTTGAGGGGTTAAGTGTTAAAAAATATAAAATATTTTTAATTTTTTAAGATATAATTATTGTCTTTTTTAAGAGTGCTTTTATTGAATAAATTATTTTATATTTATTTTATGATAAAACACATGTTAAATGGGGGTAAATATGAAAAGATAAAGTTATTTTATAAAAAATAACTATTTTATTAGAGGTAAAATCTGGTTAAAAATATCTTATACTTTTAGATAGAGAAAGTATATTAGGGTGAAACATAATTTTTTACTCTCTCTTTTCTTTCATATTCTAACTTTAAATCACTTTTTTTACTTTATTATTTATGAATAGAAATGAACATCATATTTAAAATAAAAATATTCAAATTTCATTATTAATAAACATTAGAATATATATATTTATAAATAACATGAGGTAAATTTCATTATAAATTGCTTTGATGTTTATTATGAAAAGTAACTAGTTTAAAATAAAAAAAAGAAATTACATGTCTAAAATTATGTAGAAAATCATTTGTGGCATGACACTGGCACATGCATTTTACTCTTTAATAGTAAAATTGAGAATGAAAAAGGTAAGGATTATATTAAAGTATCTTAGGTTTGGGCTTGACTTCAATTTAAATTAAAATTTTGAAAATAAATACTACTAATTTAATATTAATTATAAAAAATGTATTTAAAAGATATGATTCAGGTTTGATCAATGTTTTTGAAAAATTGAAATATAAACCACACCATTCGAATTTCAATTTATAAAACCAAAAGAAACATTGCTAATAATCGGTTTTATTCAATTTTTATTAATGTGGTTAATTTTATTCTGTTCCGCTCCCGCTCACAGTCCATTCCCATAACCAGGAAACAAGAGTACTAGCTGCGCCTCCAGAGTCTATCTCTTCCAGTCACAGTGTCACTAGCACACTTCCATGGATTTTCTCTCACTCTCTCACTCTCATCCTGCAATGTCACTTCCCTCTCGTACCCTCTTACATTCTCTTTCAAGCCCTTCTTCCCCATCTGTCTTCAATAGCCTAATTTCCATGCCCTCTCGTTCCCTTCCTTTCAGAACATCGCTCAGGTGCTTGCTGTTTGCGGCTTCAACAAAATCAC